AAATTCTTGTTTTCCAAACGTTGCTAGCTCCCGTTCATTAAGATTAGTTAGACAAGTTAACAACAACAGACATCTAAATGTCTACGAGAGTGAAGAAATGAGAAAACATAATATTATGGATAACGAGGGTATGCTATATGCTTGTTGAAATAATATTTCAATTAGCAGATTTACCTGACTACCACATAAAGCCACATTGTAAATTAATCTTAAGTGTCTTGATTTATGCTACCGAAAAAAATGGATCAATGAATTTGCATCAAATTTTGTGTAAACAATGGAAATAAGTGCTCAGAAACACATGATATTGTAACGAATTAAAGAATTAACTGTCTTAATCAAATTTATTTTTAACAATATTTCACTATCACAACTAATTTATATCCAACACTTAGTCACTAACGCTTAATTTATCTTCACGATTAGATTCCTTTCCTTAAACGCACAATTCTCTTTCTAAGTACAGACTACTCTCGGGACGGAGAGCGACCTTATTTATATCGTCAACGAACGTTCCGGATCCCTCTGCGGATTTCGGGACTCATCCGCATCCTTCCCGCTCTTTCGCGATGCGACATGCGTTTGTTGACTGTGACATCGGTCAGGGCCGGCTTCAGATTTATTACAATATTGTTTACTACTGTACCTTTGGTCGCAGTTTAAAGTAAAAAAGGAACAATAATCTCAGTCTTTTGGAGCGCTCCATCTTCAAAGTTCTCTTCTCGGATGGACCTCCATAGTAAAAATATATTTCAACCACTTGCCTCATATGAAAAATTACAAAAAAAAATTCAACATGAATGGCTTTTTATTATTTGTTACATTATTCTCAATCAACATCAGTTAATATTCCAACTTTTAGGATTTACAATGGTCATTTGGTGTGAACACGAAGGTATCCATTAGGAATTTGACAACGTGGAATAGAAAACAAATATTTTTCGCTAGTTCACATTTCCCAATTTTATATGACTATTGCACGAAAGAGATGATTCATCTTGAAGGACATGTGAGTTGACTTTGTTTATTCTTATTCAATTTTCAAAATTTTTAATTACAAATATTACATATAACGCAATTCCCTGCATAATGAACCCGTTTTTTCAATTTTATTCATCATTTCAAAGCGTCTTGTATAGATTAGAAACAATTGATGGTTTATGTATTTCAAGTTTTGATATATTTTTGAATACTTCTGATATTTTTTTCCAACCGGGCATCCCATAGCGAAATCGAATTCAACAATTTCCACTCTTTTCCTCTATTCTCAAAAGGTAAATAAGTGGATATTGGTATTTTGACTATTTTAGGTTACAAGATTTTGAAACGGTGTCTTTGTTTTTCTCTCTTATTGTTTTTTTTAGAGAAAATAATATGAAATTGTAAATTGCATGCTTACTAATGTGATGATGGTGACGGTTTGTAACAAAACAAGTTAAAGCATCTAACTGAAACGTGTAAGTTTTTGAAAACAGTTATTCCGGTCAGTTCAGAAAAATAGATAATAAAATATGTGTCAATTGAACGAAAGAAAAGACTTTTATTTGAGACTTGTGAATTAGCACTGATTCAATTTTTTTGATGACTCTTTTGATAAAACAATTACTGAACATGAAATTTTATGCAATAACAATTTTTTATTCATTTATTTTTTCATTACAAACAATGAACAGACTAATTGATTTGAATCAGCTCATGGATTTTCCAAAATTGTATGTTGAAATGAATTTTTCAGTAGGTACCGGAGTAGTAAAAAATTGAAGTGGTTGAACATTAGAAATTAATGAATAACTCAAGAGAAGATATCATCTTTACTGAATTTTCAGTAACATTGCATACATTAAATTGTGATCAAAAACAAAGAAATAATTTAAGCTAGAAAGTGAATTGAATATTAATATAAAGTATTCCCCTGTAAAACTCAACTGCTGTTTTCACAGCAATGTCTCGTACGGATAAGAAAACGGTATTATCATATCCACTTAAATGAAATGAATAAAAACACTTTTGTCTAATTACCACTACTTGATTTTATTGATACGACCAGTTTCGGGTTTGACCTCATTATCAAGTATAAAACTGAGATGTGAAGTTTGAAAACTCGGTTTTATCAGTAGTCTAATCAACAAGTTCAAAAACATGAAAAATAGAGATAAAGGTCCCA